GTCCCTTGCCTCGCAATGATGGTCTGAGCCGGAATACACAGAAGCATGCCCATCTGTTTAGGTGCTCACGTATGTGGGTCTGCTTATGTCTGTCGCATTGTTTGTAAAGCTTCCACTTTCGCGGAGAAAAAGTGCTCCATGCAAACAGTCGGCCATGTAAGTCCAACACTCATGTGTCCCATTACGGTACATGCAGCCGCCAGCCTGCTGACTTGAGTTCAAGCTCACGTATGGCCGGGATGTGCCGCGGTTTGATCAACCAAATGCCAGACACGAGTGGTCGGAGGGGGGCATTTGAAGGCGTGATGCAATTTCGCCTCGGATGGGATGGCTATTGACTCGGGAAAGGGGACCGGGGTCAGAGGGTAGAGTGCAGACCCTCTAACGAATGTGCAAAATAACGAGTGTTTGGGCGACTCACACTTGCAGCCCCCACTTGGACAGCATAGCCACCCCCCCTCCGCCTGCCAGCAGTCATGACACGAGCTTGAAAAAGCCAGTCGCAAGCGAAGCAGACGCAAAATATACCAAAATTTAGACAATTTTGTTATTTTGAAGCCTATAATTTAATACTGGTCAGAATTCTATAATTTTTGTTTGCTAACCTCCACGCATGGGAATTTGGTCAGTCAAAGATTTGCCAGTGATGTTTGTGATAAAAACATGTCCTTTACGTCAATAATAATAATAATTATAAGAATCAGTTCTTAAATCACTTGATTCTCACAAATAACAATAATAATATCATTACTAATATTGATATTATTGGTCAGTCTATGTAGCTTCAGTATATTCAAGAGCTTTGGTTAGCATTATTATTATTATTATTATTATTATTGGTCAAGCTTCAGGTAAGTCAAGAAATGATATGAGAGGTATTCGCCCTATTTCGTTTAAGGTGATGAAGGACTGGTAGTAGAATTTTCCCACATTCATATAAGAAGAGCTGACTTTTAGGAAAGCAAGGGCAATGTGAAATTCAATGAAAGCGTCAGCTCTACTCATATCATTGTGGGAAAATTCTACTACCAGTCCTTCATCACCTTAAACGAAATATGGTAAATACTTCTCATATTACCGATTTACTGATAGTCTCGAAACTCTACTCTAATACTAAAATAAGTAAAGTAGTCGATTGTTATAGCAGATATATGTTCGCTTCATCGGCAATCCCACCAAAGAATACGATATGGCAAAAGGCCTGACCTTATGCCCTGTAACCCAAGGACACTCGTGGAAATATGGTCGAGTGCTTAACGTGTCAAGCTCCCATTCTGCACTGTCACGGTTCGACTCCCGCTGGGGGTGCTGATAAGACCAAAGCGAGGTAGAAACTGCAGTCCACCCTGGATGTTAACAACTTTTGGGAAAGCAAAGCAATGTGCAATTCAATAGATGCGTCAGCTCTACTCATATCAATGTGGGAAAATTCTACTACCAGTCCTTCATCACCTTGAACGTAATAGGGTGAATACCTCTCTGATTACTGATTTACTTGTAGTCTCGAAATTCTCATCCAATAC